GCTCCATTGCACATAGAGAAAAGTGAGACTCAGGATGGCCGAGGGATATGCAGACACACACGCTAAGTACTGGCAGGAGTAGATTTCTCTGTCTCCAAAGCCATTGTCCAGAGTACCATGTGGCTTTGAATACAAGCTCCAGGTGAGGCTTAAACTTCCTATTACCTGGGTATATCTTCCTGCTGCACTGACCTGGAAACATCCATCCGAGTCCAGTGGAGGGAAGGGCTGCATGCCCAGAGGATGCCCTGACTGGGGGAAACCTCTGCTGATGCCTCCCACACCAGATCTGCTTCAGAGCTTACAGAACAACATCTTCATAACTTCATTTTTTTCCAATACAGATTTAAGGGGAGGTGGGGAGTCAGAAAACCCAGGTTTGGGTACTAGTTTCATCATCACGACTTTGTGGCCTTTGGTCAAGTCACTGAATTTCTTTCTTCTTCTTCTTTTTTAAATTTAAATTTTAGATTTTATTTATTTGAGAGAGAGAGATAGGAGCAGAGGGAGAGGGACAAGCAGACTCCACACTGAGCTCAGAGCCCCAGGCGGGGCTCCATCTTACAACCCTGAAATCGTGACCTGAACAGAAACTCAGCTTAACCCACTGAGCCACTCAGGCGCCCCAAGTCACTGAATTTCGTTAGAACTCTGTTCCTCAACATATTAAACGGTGAGGGATGAGCTACCAATTCCATCAACAAGGAAAGTTAGAGGGATATAGGAGATCACCTGTCGAAGTCCTACGAAAATCTGCAAATAGTGTCCTCTAGGGCTAATTATTGAACAATAATAAGCTAACAAACACATTGCCTGGCATATGGTAGACATGCAATAACCAAAAAATGAATACAAATCCCTGGCACACAAGAGCCGGGAAAAGGAAGAACTCTTTTTTTTCTGGAGATGTCTCAAGATAAAAGAAAGTATTGACCGGGGCGCCTGGGTGGCTCAGTCGTTAAGCGTCTGCCTTCGGCTCAGGTCATGATCCCAGGGTCCTGGGATCAAGCCCCGCATCGGGCTCCCTGCTCCCGCGGGAAGCCTGCTTCTCCCTCTCCCACTCCCGCTGCTTGTGTTCCCTCTCTCGCTGTGTCTCTCTCTGTCAAATAAATAAAATCTTTAAAAAAAAAAGAAAGTATTGACCAATTTTGTGGTTTCAGGAATGGGGTGGTCTTGGCTTTTTCTGGCATCTGTCAGATGAAGGAGGGGCTTTTCTCTTTTCCCAGCCACCCCCTGTCCTCCTAATCCAACAACATTCCTCTTAACCTCTTTCCATTTACCACAGTAATTAATTCCTCTATTTTAGACTGATACAGAAATTTATCGTTTCAAAATGCTCTCAGATATAATTTCTTTAAATCTTTAGTGCCACCTTGTGAGGTATATGGAATAAATATTATTCCCATTTGGAAAATGAGTAAACTGCATGGCAACTCAGTCGACTTGGCCATATTTACAAAGTTACTGGCTAAATGGATTAGAATCCAGGTGTTCTGACTCCAGTCTACTGTTTAGGCTTTGTGTACACACACACACACACACACACACACACACACACACACACCCCTCCTCTCCCCTTCCACCATCTCTATTTCTCACTCTCTGTTTAAAAAGTGCTTTAAAAAGAATGAGAAGATCCAGGATGTCTTCATAAATAAGGAAGCAAAATGTCCCAGTGTACTGGTGAGGAAAAAGTAGCAGGCATGCTCTTTTGAGGGCTTGCTGGCCAGGCAGTTGAGAGCAGTTTGGATTTACAGTTTAAATAGATTCTGGCTTATGGGAGACAAGAGATTCATTTGCCCCATCTTCTTCCTTTCTCCTCCGTTCAAAAGTCAACAAATACTTGAGTGTCTGCTGTATGCAAGGTAGTGGGGTCCTTGTGCTGGAGCTTTGTGGAACATCAGGCAGAGGGACTGCTAAAAAATCAAAACCCTCCAAAGTAATTTTCAGATTCCAGAACAGATGCATGTGGGCTGGAGAACCTTTCCTATTTGCTCCGTAAGATGTTACATAAATCTCTGGGTTTCTCTCTCACTAACCTGCACTGCTGCACTGTCTCGTCTTACTGTCCTGCCCCTACCTGCCCTCACTTTGCCTCCCGGGGTCCTGTTACTCACACCTCTTTCCCTGGGCCATACTCCTCCCGGGCCTATTCCTTAGCTCGCTTCTCTCTCACCAGGTGAACATCATGGCACCTGAATTGGGATTTTGGATTTAGGACTATTTCCAAATACCAATTCTTAAGTGAGAAATCTGAGTGAGAATTTATGGGTGCTTTTACACATTGTCATAGCACTGTCTCCTCAGTGGGCTTGACACCATCGTACACACAAACTACAAAGATGACTCAAGCCAATGTCTCTCTTTGGTGGAGAAGATACTGGGAGGACTTGTGTTTGGGTTACCTCCCTACTAGCATCACCGTGGGTAAGACACACCTGCCAGCAACTTTACTCTTCAATTGACTGTTTTAAAAGCCACTCCAAGCAAGGGAGGAAGAAAGGAGCTATCAGCGATAAGGATTGTGAGTTGCTGCTTGCAAGTTTACCGTGCAAAAACTGCTGTCCAAACAGTTGGTTAGCTAAAAACAGTGCCTCGGCTTTGTAGAGTAAATGGGACATTTGACTAGGGCATTTCAATCTGTGGAAGAGAGGTCATTAAAAGCACATGAGACTTCAAAAGGAAAATGCTGTTTTTAAACTTTTTTTTTTTTAAAGTTTTATTTATTTATTTGAGAGAGAGAATGAGAGACAGAGCATGAGAGGGAAGAGGATCAGAGGGAGAAGCAGACCCCCCGCTGAGCAGGGAGCCCGATGTGGGACTCCAGGATCATGACCTGAGCCGAAGGCAGTCGCTTAACCAACTGAGCCACCCAGGTGCCCGGAAAATGCTGTTTTTAAAGGGTAAAGATAAAGAGCCACGGATAATGTAATCAGTTCTGTAAATCTTAAGTAAAAATGTAAGTCTTTGGGGCATCTGGATGGCTCAGTTGGTTAAGCATTGGACTCTTGACTTTGGCTCAGGTCATGATCTCAGGTCATGAAATCGTGCCCGAGTTGGGCTCTGCGCTGGCTGTGCAGCCTGCTTGGGATTCTCTCCATCTCCCTCTGCCCCTCCCCAGCAACTCACATGCGTGCATGCCCGGGTTCTCTGTCTCTAAAAAAATACTTAAAAAATTATTAAAAAATGTACGTAAGTCTTTGATCCTTAATAAAGAAATGCCAACTTCTGGCATCAAACATCCTGAGGGTAAGGCTCACTTTTTAGATTTCTTGGTATTGTTAGTTGAGTAGGCACAATGGAAGCAGGCAAATAATAGGAGGAATGATACAAGAAAAGTCTCTGTTCCTTTTTGTCCTTATTTATTTATTTAATTATTTTAAAAAAGATTTTATTTATTTATTTGACAGAGAGAGAGATAGCGAGAGCAGGAACAGAAGCAGGGGGAGTGGGAGAGCGAGAAGCAGGCTTCCCGCCGAGCAGGGAGCCCGATGTGGGACTCGATCCCAGGACCCTGGGACCATGACCTGAGCCGAAGGCAGACACTTAATGACTGAGCTACCCAGCTGCCCCCTTTTTTTCCTTTTTTAAAAAAGATTTATTTTAGAGAGAGCGAGTGAGGGAGGGTGCGTGTGGGGGGAGGGGCAGAGGGAGAGGCAGAGAATCTCAAGCGGACTCCCCAATGAGCAGGGAGCCCAAGGCAGGGCTCGATGCCTCCACCCTGAGGTCATGACCTGAGCTGAAATCAAGAGTTGGTTGCTTAACCGACTGAGCCACCCAGGCACCCCAAAAAGTCTCTGTTCTTATTATTCCAAAGAGTTATCTTGCCAAGAGGAAGGGAAGCACAGGTAATCCTGCTTGGAGGGAGGTTTCTGTTTATTTGAAAAAACTATGTAACTCATAAAATGCTGCAATTAAAATAATGTGTCCCCAAGTGAAGGCAGTCTCACTTTTTTATTATAAAAAAGGGAAAAATTTGTAAAAATATACCTAAAAATGACCCACAAAAAAAAAAAAAAAAAAGGAAAGGAATTTAGATCTTAGCTCTTAGCTAAAATATGGACACAGCCTTAGGGCTTCACATGAGTATGAGTTAAAGAGACAATGGAGAAAAGGGAGAGGGAATGGGGAAAAGGGAGATGGATAGAATGACCTTTATTTTTTCCCTTATTTCTTGAGCTGCTGATTAGTGCAGTGGAAGGGTTGACAGGAATCCGATCTTTCCGTATAGTGATTTTGTATCCCCAGGTTGGAGACAGGAATCAATCTTATTGTCTATTATTAGTGTTTGCAATGTTCTAAGTGCTTTATATGTATTATCAAATTCTTATAATCCTATGAGGATGGTACTTTATTAATCTCATTTTTTCAAAAGATTTATTTATTTTAGAGACAGAGTGGGCAAGCGGGGAGAGGGGCAGAGGGAGAGGGATGGAGAGAGAGTGGGAGAGAGAGAAGCCGACTCCCCACTGAGCACGGAGCCCAATTCAGGGCTCAATCTCACAACCCTGAGATCGTGACCTAAGCTAAAATCAAGAGTTGGCTGCTTACCTGACTGAGCCACCCAGGTGCCCCTATTACTCTTATTTTACAGATGAGGACACTAAGCCACAAGGAGACTAAATAGCATTCCCAAAGCCTGATAACTGTGACAGACTGGAACTTAGGCTATCTGAGGCTAGAGAATATTTTATGTTCAACATAAAAAGGAAGTTAAAAAATATATAAAGGACTTACAGAGAACCAGGGCAGGATTGTGCTGTGGTGTTTTTGCTATGATTCAAGGATGCCATAACTTCCTGGCATTAGTGACATCACCACTTTCCACTGCTTTCAAGAGAATCGAAATTGACACCAGAATTTATCATTTGCCTTGACATACTTTAAATATCCTTTGGATAGAAGCAATGCCTTCTCTATGTTTGGTGTAAAGCCAGCTCATGCCTCGTCTCATGAATTCCCATAAATAGTTATTAACCCCAAAGAAATAAAAACTTGTATCTTTTCACAAAATGGATTTTTATTGTAGTCATCCATGGTTTCTCAGTGCCACAAAAAACTGCAATGTAGGAACAATTTTTGGATGGTTCTTTACAGAAACATGATGAGTTTTCAAAAAATGAGGTGTGCAGGAATGTGGTTAATGAAAAGTAAAAGGGGTCAAGAGAAGAGAGCATGTGTAGCGTGTGCATCAGATGATTACTTTTTAAACTCCTCTGAGCTCTGATAACCCTTTTCTTAAGTAAGATCCCAACAGAATTCATCAGAAACTGAAGTGATTGTGCTGTCAAATACAAGGAATACATCTGTTTATTTAATACGAAACCATGAGAAAAGTGGGTTGGGATGGGCATAGACTTATTCTCAACTCATCACTGGGAGTCTTGATGTCTGTGCCGACAGTTCAGGAATTAGCAGGCTACTTGGAGATGGGTTATAACGACAAGCACAAAACCCAAGGCTCTTCTCCAACACCTCTGGCCAGCGCGGAAGGCCTGCAGAGAGCCTAGAGGGGAAGTCGCGCCATTCTCTTCACCTCGCCATCACATTTCATCTTCTGCTTGCTGACCTCGATGGAACTTGAGAGCTCTCCCTGCTTCGGCTGTGCAGTCCAGAAGCCAGAACTTCCTCTAGGAAACTGAGCAGTAGATTTGAGGTTACTCAAAGGAAAAAAAAAAAGCATCTCCAAAAACAGAGTATCTCGCCCATGACATGTAACTGGCTAAAGGATAGCATGATTAGTATGCAAGGAGTACTGGTCTGCTATTTGGGTGCAGAAGAGGAGCATCAGTTGAACGCTCAAACATCCGGACTAGAAGGAGCGCCCCTTAGTGCTCTTCCCCACGGTTCTCACTAACCTGGAAGATCTGTTAAGACTGAGTTTCCAATTTGAAATTTCTAGTTAGGAACCCAGTTTTGTTTTTTTTTTTTAATTTTATCTATCTATCTATCTATCTATCTATCTATCTATCTATCTATCTATCTATCTAGAAGAGAGAGCACAAGTGGCAAGAGGAGTAGAAAAGGAGGTGGAGGGAGGGGGAAAAATCTCAAGCAGACTCCATGCTGAGTGTGGATCCTGATGTGGGGCTGGATCTCATGACCCTGAGATCATGACCTGAGCTGAAATCAAGAGTCTGACGCTTAACTGACTGAGTCCCCCAGGTGCCCCGGAACCCAGAATTTTTAAGGGCAAGGCTACCGTATTGAGAACCGTGTTACATCAGCACCTCTTATTTGACTCTTAAAATGGCCTCAGAACATGGACTGTGCCTCTAGTCTCCTCTGTAGCTAGGGGACTCTGCAAAGTGGCACCAGAGTTGATTTTCTAAAACACAGATGATATCCTATTGCATACTTTCACCTCATCAGCTTTAAAACCTTTCTTTTTAATACCCATCACCAGGCTAACCCATCCCCCCACCCCCCTCCCCTCTAGAACCCTCAGTTTGTTTCTCAGAGTCCATAGTCTCTCATGGTTCATCTCCCCCTCCGATTTCCCCCCCTTCATTTTTCCCTTCCGACACGTATTGAATGGAGCACTGGGTGTTATACGCAAACAATGAATCATGGAACACTACAACGAAAACTAATGATGTAATGTATGGTGATTAACATAACATAATAAAATAAAATTAAAAAAATAAAACCTTTCTTTGCTTACAGAACAATGTACAGATTAAAATTCAAGGCCCTTGGGCGCCTGGGTGGCTCAGTTGCTTAAGCAACTGCCTTCGGCTCAGGTCATGATCCTGGAGTCCCTGGATCGAGTCCCGCATCGGGCTCCCTGCTCGGCAGGGAGTCTGCTTCGCCCTCTGACCCTATCCCCTCTCATGTGTTCTTTCTCTCTCACAAATAAATAAAATCTTAAAAAATAAATAAATAAAATAAAATTCAAGGCCCTTCATAATGTATCCTAATAACTAATACTTGTATTTATTTTGTTCTGAGGACTGTTTTAAGCCACATGTGTATGTGTATATGTATGTGTGAAGTAGATGCTATTATTCTCATTTGAGAGATGACGAAACCAAGCTATAGAGGTGAAGTGACTTGCCAAGGTCACCACAGCCAATAAGTGGCTTAGCTGGGATTCAAACCCAGGCCCTGGAACCTGCGCCCTTGGGCCCCACGCACAGTGCCGCTTGTCCGCCCAGCAGCGTCCAGCCATTCGCTCTCCCCTAAACACCTCCTGAGCTTTCCCACCTGTATGCTGTGCTCTTCTGTCCTGTGTCTGAAACGACAGACAGCCCTTCTTTGTCTGATGAAATCCTTTTTCTCCTTTAAGGCTGACGATTAAAAGTCACCTTTTCCGTGAAGCCTTCTCAAACGTCTTCAGGCTGCATGGATCCCTCCCGTCACTATAACCCTCACTGTCCTACTGCTGTTTGGGCTCCGTGTTGGTCTTCACCAGGTACCCGCTCTATTATTGCCGCCACACTAGACGGTGAGCTGCTCAGCGCGGGTCTAGGCCTTCTTCAGCTTGGATCTGCAGGGCTTAGCACACAGGCTGATATCTAGTAGGGACCCACTAATGGTGTACTGAATAGATGAGCTCATCAAGATAGCTCCGCATGGGGGTGCCTGGGTGGTGCGGTCGGTTAAGCATCCAACTCTTGGTTTTGGCTCAGGTCATGATCTCGCGGTCGTGGGATCGAGCCCCGAGCTGGGCTCTGCGCTCAGCTTGGAGTCTGTTTCAAATTCTCTCTCCCTCTCCCTCCTGCTCACTCTCGCTCTCTCTCAAATAAATAAAGTCTTAAAAAAAAAAGATAAAATAGCTACACGTTGGCAAGAGAGCCTTCGCTATGATACAGGCGTTTGGGGGCAGTATGGTAAGTGTGCCGCAGTCACTCTCAGGAGCCAGATCTGTAGGGAGGGTTAGAGGGGTGACCAGGTACCTTATCATTGCCATCGTTTTGCAGTTTTAGACCTGGCAGATTCTGGACTTGGAGGATTTAAATTCCAAACTCCTTTGCAAAAGAAAAAAAATGATGAAGTAGAGGGAAAGGAGTAGAAGCTAAATTTATTTATTCCCCTACTGAAATCCAGGCACCTCTGTCTGGCCTGGGCTTTTGGCCAGTTGGACTGGAGACACTTGGAGGGCAGAAAACAAGTGTCAGGGAATGAGGCAGCATTGCTTTTTTGAAAGATAACACAAGAAGTCTTTGATCAGTGACTTATAGTAAGAATGAAACAAATGTGCTGGGAAACCCTACAGGAATTTATCAGGTGATCTTTGCTTCGCTTCAGACTCTGCAACCAGTGCAAAGGAAAGAAGTAACTTAACTGAAATTATACTTCAAGATCCTCCTCTGTGTATCAACAAGACCCCACATTCTTGACTGCAAAGAGAAAATACTATTTATATTTGCCAAGTCTAATTTTGTTTCCTAGGGCCATTGTGACTTTCTAAAAAGTATCTATTTGAGGACTTTGATGAGTCACAGCAGAATGCTTTCAAAATTATGGGCGATGAACATATTGGTATCTACACCCCAAATTTTGACTATGTTTAAAAACAACAACAAAAAAATGATTTTTGTTTTCTAGCTTTTTTTTTTTTGCATATAGAGATTTATTTAATTTAAATTCAATTAGCCGACATACAGTACATCATTAGTTTTTGATATAGTGTTCATTGATTCATTAGTTGCATATAACAATCAGTGCTCATCAGATCACGTGCCCTCCTTAATGCCCACCACCCAGTTACCCCATCCCCCCATCCACCTCCCTTCCACAACCCTCAGTTTGTTTCCCACAGTCAAGAGTCTCTCACGGTTTGTCTCCCTCTCTGATTTCTTCCCATTCGATTTTCCCTCTCTTCCCCTATGATCCTCGGATCTAGCTTTGTTTTAAATCAATTTCACTTGAGAAGCAAACTCAAAAATTTCCTTCTCCTATGATATCATAATCTAATTCAATTCAGCTCAGTTCAATTTAACAAGTGTTTTACTGAGCATTCATTATCAAGCAGGCACTGAGCTAGTTGTACAAAGGAACACTTGTTATGATTCCTACCTTTAAGGGACTCTTAGAGACAGATACACAATCACAACTCAATGTGAGACAACATATAAACAAAGATGGTACCAGGAGCTAACGGAGGGGATTAATGCTACTGCTTGTCTTGGTTTGTGCTGTCATCATTCACAACTTCATGGAGAGAAGCCAGGTGGGCAGAGAAAAAGCCCTGATTTTATTTTATTTTATTAATTTATTTACTTAGAGGTGGGGAGAGGCAGAGGGAAAGGGAGAGAATCTTAAGCAGGTGCCCAACATGGAGCCTGATGTGGGGCTCGATCTCACAACCCTGAAATCATGATCTGAGCCAAAATCAAGAGTCCACCGCTGCACCAACTGAGCCACCCAGGCACCCCAAGAGACCTGATTTTAAAAAGTCAACCCCAAGGGTCACCTGGGGGGCTCAGTCGGTGAAGCGTCTGACTCATGATTTTGGCTCAGGTCATGATTGCATGGGTCCTGAGACTGATCCTGGTCTGGCTCCGCGCTCAGTGGGGGAGTCTGTTTGAGATTCTCTCCCCCTCTCTCCCAACTTGTGCCCATATGCGCACGCACTCTCTCAAATATATAAATAAATCTTAAAAAAAAAAAAAAGTCAACCTCAAAAACTCTTGTATCATGCATTGGAAAAAGTTTCTTCACTTTTTAGTCTTTGGTAAGGAACTGGAGACTAACACTCAAAGGATTTTAGATTGTAATTACTAAAGTAATTGAGTTGAACAACTGTGCTTCTAAACAAAGCTGTATAAGACTATATCTATCTATCTCTCACTTATATCTTCCTCTTTTTTTTTTTTTAAAGATTTTATTTATTTATTTGAGAGAGAGAGAATGAGAGAGAGCACATGAGAGTGGGGAGGGTCAGAGGGAGAAGCAGACCCTCTGCCGAGCAGGGAGCCCGATGCGGGACTCGATCCCGGGACTCCAGGATCATGACCTGAGCCGAAGGCAGTCGCTTAACCAACTGAGCCACCCAGGCGCCCCATATCTTCCTCTTTTTTTCACTCTATTCCACAGATAGAAGTTATGAGTTTCTTCATAATAAAAAACCAAAGACACCAAAGGAAGCTAGAATCGAATGTGAAGTGGTAAATGAAACAAAATGAATAGAATTTACAGGAAGCAGGAACCTAGAAAAAGACTTCCTGGAAAATAATGAGGAAAAAAAACCCCAAATATTTGTGTTAATGGAGTAATAATCTTCTAATTACAGCCAAACACTTAGCTGGAGACGCTGCAACATAGGAGTGGGTGAGAGAGAAGGATACGACGGAGCGTTTAACAGCCCAGAGCACTGACAAGCCCTCTCCATGTCCACTGCTTACAGCTGTCGGAGCTGCCATTGTGTCTCGTACCTCTCTGCTTTTGCACACACTATTCCCTCCATCTGGAAGGCTGCCCCATCCATCCCTCTCGTACTTTATCTGAACTGTGCATCTGTTACAACTCAACTCACATTATCAATCCTCTAGAAATTCATTTGCCTGTATTTCTTTTTCCACATAAGCCTATAAGCTTTTTGAGGACACAAGTAATACATGAATACATTCTTTTGGCAAAAGTTTTAAATAGTACACATAGAGCTCAAGGCTCCTGGATCTTTCTTCTCCCCAT